GGTAATGATACAAAGTTCTTAAAAAGACTGAAATATATCCAAACATTTCCAAAGTGTTTTAAAGTACCGTAAGTGGTGCAATTTTCTGTTTTATCATCTACTTAATTTAACAAACAAAAAGTGTCAAGTGGTATTCTCCCAGTAGCTTGGTGTTATGATTTCTTCGTACACACAAAGATGAGACTCAGGAATATTACAGAATTGTAAAGATAGGGAACAGATCCATGGTTTATTGGTAAGAAATAGATGAACTTATAATTTTACTTTTAAATTCATCACATTCCATTAGACAGCAAAACGACTTTTGAACATTAGTCCAGCTGAGAACCCTGTTACAGGACCTCCTTTGTCTGAAAAACCACTCAAATGAAGCAACCAGGGAGGAATCTTTGGTTGATATACTTCCTTAGCAGTAACTCAGACACTAAAGACAATATTTTTAAGCACAGCTTAGTCAATAGTTCCTTTAAATTTAATATGGGCACATTTTCACATAAAAGGACCACCCAACGAAACTCCTAATTCTTGTGATTCTTTGTTTTATACCCAGACTCCACTCAACTAATGGGAGCAGGCTTTCACCAGGTTTCTGCGTCATTTATTGTCGTAGGGTACCTGTCGGAGGCCTTGGTCTGTGGGGGAAGAAAGACACTGACACACACACTACACACACACTAGGATGAGACAGAGAGATGTCTGCCTGCTCAGCACAGCAGGCAGCTTTTTTATTGAGTTCTCTAACTTCTATTTTCCCACACATATAACATAAACATATTCTTACAAAAACACCCAGGAATCCAGCACCTGCACTCAACCAAACAGCCTTAACTTTGTACTCTTTATAAATCAAGGCTGTGTCCATGGGAACTATCTAATTAGATCCACTGCTCTCATGGAAAACAGCCCAACACTTTGTAATATTCCAAACCCCTCAAGCTTCAGTTGTGGGGCTGTGACTTCACCGCACAATTTATACTTCACCATCCAAAGGACTTGATTTGACTGACATAAATGTCCTGCACATTGTTCAAAAATATATTAAATGAGAGTCCCCTATTCATCACAGTTATAAAAGAGCCTGCAACTTTGTATATTCTAAGATTTGCACAACTGTCAGCTAAAAATATCTGATCCTGTGTGGACTATAGACCTAAGTGATTGAGGATGTTTCTCGCTGTTGAGCTGTCAGGAAATAATTTATTCTGATAAATGCAAAAACTTTAGCTTTGTAAGTCTTCAAGGCTATACCACTATCAGGACATTTGCCTTTGTTCCATATAAATGAAGATACCTGTTCTGATGAATGGCATAATTTAATTATTTAATTTTTTCCCTCCTTTCCACTAAAGGACTGTTAATAAAATATGGGATTTAAAAACAAACAAAAAAAATTACACTAAATATAATGAATCTTTTTTAAGTAGGACTTGTTTACTTTGAATATGGTGAAATATCATTCATGCTTTTTCTAAAAGCATTCAGCCTGTGAGAGGCTGTTGCAATGAGAAAGTACACCAATAAAAATTGATATACTACTCTGAGTGACAGGAGATGCTTGATATATGGTCGTTTCAGAATATATGAGAAACTCTTCAAAAAAGTACCTTATGCCAAGGCTTAACTAAGTTGTCTGTCATGGTTATCACAGCAGGAGGTAAAGAAAGCAGACCAGTTCCACTCTCATATTGCCTGTGAATATGAGAAAGAACTCACTTCCACTTTTCTGTACCTCCTTTCACATTCTGCTTAGCTGACAGACCTTATTAAATTAGGAATAAAGTCCTTCATATTTTCTAAACTATGAGTGCTTAAGAGTGAAATTTTGTCCTTCCTCATGCAATACTTTCTATTGCACAAATGAAGGCCAGAATCCAAGCCCAAGAGTGTGGTAGGGAAAAAGTGTTTTCCCTTGGAGTTAAAAAAGGCGGTAACCCCAAGGGGGTGCTGTTCTGCATGCAGGGCTAATCAAAAGCTGCATTTCACTCCTTTGAAATCAACATATTGCAACAGACTGGAAAAAGAAGGGAGATGATGTAGCTGGACAAGAAGTAGCCATGTTTTAGGCAACGAGGGGAGAAGAGCCAAGAGCCCCGCTGGGGGTTAGGCCCTCCCAGCCCCCAGCTGGGGGCTGCAGGAACTTGGAACAGTGTTAAACTGGGCCAAGTACTGTAGCTAAGAGCTGGGGGAAGTTTTCTTGCTGTGAGTGGGCAGCCAGAGATACTGAAAGCAGCAGCGGAGCAGCAGTGAATGGGGAACTGTGGCTGAGAGCCAAAAAGATAACAAGCAGCAAAGACGGCATTGCAGCCAAGCTGAGAGACACTTAGATGTCTGACGGAGAGACAGAGAGAGAGGACTAAGCTCAACAGAAACGTTTTTGGGGTAAAACTGAATTAAATCTCCCCAAAACCCCTTTGAAACCCCTCCTGGGAGGAGGGGGTGGACTTCTACTTGATGGAAGTCCTAAAATGTAGCATGCAGCAGAGAGAGAGGAGCTAAGAAGCTCAGAGATGTCCTGGAAGTTGGACCGGGACAGCCAGACAGAATGCAGAGGAGGTGGCCTTGCCCCTCCGCTGCTGCCATGCTGGCAGTTGAGACGGAGCAGAGGAGCTCTGATAGGACACCTGGGGCAAAGACTGAACTGTGAGCTGCCCTAAATGTTCTGACTCAGGAGGAGTTTGAATCCCCTGAGGAAGGGACTTTCATGGGATGTCTTACACCCCATGATATGACCGTGGTAAGGCGAGTTTTGTCCCTGCTTTTGCAAGCCCACGGGAAAGAGACCTTTGCTTGGAGCTGAAGGGCTGAGAGGGGTGAGAGGAGACCCTCTTGTGTATAATGGAGAGAGAGAGAGAGAGAGAGAGATCCAGCTACAACAACTCCAGCTATGACCGCTGCATTGAAGAGGAGAGACGCTGCTGTCCTGAACGTGGAAAGGATCTTTCCTTCTTCCCTTCTGAACTTTTATTGGAGGCGGAGGAGACTTGATTGAATGTAAATATTGCTTTACCATAGGAGAGATAGTTAGGATTGTGTATATAATGTATTATATTATTTATTTGTGTAATAATTGTAATATAATTCCCTTTCTCCCATACTGAGTCTTGTGTTGTGTCTTGAAAACCCCTCTCACACTGGGGTGAGTTGTGGGAGGGGGACTTGGACTTGGAAATTGGATTTCTGGGGTCTCCAACTATGACAAAGAGTCATCAAATAAAAATTTCATCAAATAAAAACTTGATTATGCAGAAATTTCTCTTCTAGGCACTTGTAGCCTAGTTATTACCTCTTTCTGCCAAATTGATGAAATACTATAATCTGCTGGGCTTTTTAATCCTTATGAAACGAAAAAGCTCACACAAAGGTGCATTATCAGAAGAGAGAAGACTTGTATTGGGTTTTTTTTACCATACCAGTGTGGGAGGGGTTGAGCATAAAGAACAGTACAAAAAAAGTCTTAAAGAGAATAACAAATAACCTCACAGCACACAGAACAAACATTAAAATTATTGGATTTATAGTTCATTGCAATCATCCCAGATGTTTCATACAAAAGAGCAACTAAGCTGACCTATGATTTCATTCTGACGTCATAGATATATAACAGTTTCCCATGAATGAGAGAGCAGTCAAAATGCAGCACTGGCAGATTTGACATTCAACACTGAAGAAATCAAAGACAATATTTGCACCAGTTTTTGGGTCATGGAGACTTCTGACTTATGTGCAGTCTGATTCAGTCCATTACTGCTTTCATGTCAGCCCCAGTTATGGTTTTGATTCACCACTGCTGTCACACAGAATATGTCATTCACACATCTTTCCTTTTCAGTCAGCTATTTGGAATAGCATGCAAAATGGGTTTTGAAAATTGATGTTATCTCTCAGTTCTAGTAGTACTCCCAGGCCAGGTCACTTATTTTAACAAAATAAATAAACGAAACCCCCACTAACCTTGTGGTAGTAGATTTGGGAAAGGACATCTCTAATAGATAAAGTAAATCAGACTGAATGGTATTAGGGAATACAAAGAAGGTTGCTTTCCTCCCTGCCTACCAGTTCACCTGCCCCATGAAGCTCAGTCTCTCTCATTCGACAACCCTGGTGATCCTACCACAACATTCCTGGGTAGAAGTTTGCCTGCAATGGCATGAATTTTAGCTAGTGGTCCAGGTGGGCCTGAAAGATGAGAGTACCTCTCTGGCACCCTAGTTTTGCAACCATAATCTCTTCTCTCACTCCATTGCTTATTTGTTCCCTTACAGACGTTGCCTTGCTCCATATGTGAGCTGCCTGTGGCATAGCAACTTTGCTGGGTTTGTCCCAGAAATGGTACAGCTGAAGTAAGTTTTAAATATAGGAACCAGGGCTGATACACATCCATCAGCATATCTCAGTTTTTTCTACTCATGCAACTTACAGTCATCCAACTATCCTATGGACTACACAAGAAACAGGAGATAGGTCAACTTCTCACTCATGCTTACTGAAGACATAAAGGGTCTTTTTATTATTAAGAAAACTCAGCATCTAAGCTGAGCTAAAACAGGTCACAAAAGCTATGTAAGCAGTAATTTCAGCAAGCTAGACATGAAAGTTCTGCTCATGGTGAGACAATAAATTAAAATAAATTAATAAAATAAATGCAACGGTGAATGTGCTTTTCATTGATTAATTGTGTTATTGTTTTGCTGCCTACATAGAAATAGATTTTTAGCCCTGATTGTTTTGTTCATATGTTTGACTGTCTGGAGAGTGTAGAACCACAATCTACACTGAAGGTCAGTGAAGTGTTTCATTTGCCTTATTTTCAGGGGCACATATGTCAACACATTGCAAACACATTTTCAAACTTGGTTTGAATCTTCAGTGTTAGAGCCCTTACATCATCTGCTCCATTGGATGATTTTCTCATTTAGATGTTTTTACTTTTATTTTACCATTAAAACAAAAGACTCAAGGATACAAAAGATGTCTGAAATACAACTGATCAGTTGCATCTTGGATGATCTACAATAATAGAGTAATATTTTCCTAATTTGGAAAGACTGTTCTAGAATCTTGCTGAAATTCTACCACCAGTTTTTAACTCAGTTTTTGCCTGTAATGAAACAAAAATAAAAACCATTAAGTTTCAAAGCTCTCATACATAATTTTGTCATTAACAATGTAAATTGTTCCCATCAGTTTGTCAGATTGATATTTTGAGCAAACTTCTAAGAGATTTTTATAAGCCTAATTGTCAGTGGGGAAAGAAAGAAATATTCTTTAAAAGTTATACTCTCTTCCTTTTCTATTACAATTACCAAGGAGCATAAGTCCAGCCAGAAACTTATTTTGAGCAAAAGCGTAAACAATGACGCAAAGAGCCTAGTGTGAGCTTATGCAACAGCTTTGATGTCACCTTGACATAAAAAATTGACAAAATTTTTAAAAGCTATTTCTCCTTTGTTGTTGCAGAATCTTGAATCTTATCTTTTGGAGTACAGCACAGTCATGTTCCATGCCCTACAGCACAGTCATGTTTCATGCCATTGTGTGATTTTCAAGTTCTTGGTTTAGAGAGTAAATTATACAGTTAACAAAAAACAAGTTTTTTTCAAATCTTCCTGGAACGTTTTTTGTACTGAAGAGAAACAATGAGTTCAGAAACTTATGGATTAAAAAGAAAAAAAAAGGAGTTTTTGCTGACAATTATACAATTTTTGTGTAGAAGGTCAAGAATGAGTATTCTGGATTCAGTAATTAAAGTTGAATCCAAAATTTTTTGAATTCAGAAATTTGCTCTTCGTTCCCCTTATTTATGGTTCTGCTAGGAATTTGAAACTGGGGTATATTGGAATGAACAAATTCATTTGTTGTACAAGTTGAAGCTGACCACTCCTCTCTACAAGACACCTGATGCCCTCAGTGCAGCATAAAGTCTTTTTTCTTAATTAATGGTCCTAGACAATTCTTTATTTAATTTAAAAATATATATAGTTAAAATTTAAAAGTCAGTCAGGACAGACTTGCTCTGAAATCTAGTTACAGCACAAGAACTGAAATACAATTCTCCACAGGCAGATTTTTTTTTGCAAAAGAACAGCAAAAGTTATTTTTATTAAGCTGAATTAGTTAAAACATTTTGCACATTTAGCAACAACAAATCTTAACTAATGTCGCTTTATAATGAAGAACCAGAAATTTAGCAAGTCATTCTTCTGAAATATAGAGATCATGACTAGATTATTTCTCTATATTTGGTCAAGTAAGGGAAAACATTTCTATTTTGCTAACAATAGCAAAAAGGAATTCTAAATATTGCCATACATTTCTTCTCCATAACACTCTGCTCTGTTTTTATTTAATTTCTGAAAATTGGTATATCTTAGCTTTCATTTTGCTTTTGCATCATATTCTTACAATATATTGTTGATATAAATCTGTAAGACTAACTTTACAAACATCTTAAACAGTTAATTCTCTGCAACTCACCTCCCACGTGTAAATAATTAGAAAGTTCAATATTTCAAGTCGTTTAAATATAAGTTGGATCCTCAGTACTGTAATTTAAATGATACAATTCCATACCTTTTTCCCCAGGTACTGTACTTCATTTAGTGACTTCACTGAGGACTTAGTGTTTCCTAAAAGAGGAAGAAAACTCTGATCAAACTTCAACTATTGGATTGCAAATCACTTCTCTTACCAACGCTATCTGTACAGATTAATCACCAAAACAATGTTATACACCTGTTAGTCCTTTCTTAAGGCTCTACAGTGTTAGACAGAAATGGTAGTATTCTGATACAACACTTATCACTGGATCAAAGAATTCATCAAATTAAAAAATCCATCATATCCCATGCTGTGAAGAACCTCTCCCATGATGCAGGGAACCAACACTGCTCATTGTCTTCCAGACACATTTTTTCAGAAAATTCAACTTCTAAGGGTACAAAGTTATAATGCTGCAGAATACAGAGGGAAAGATGACTACAGTGCAAGCCAAGTCATGTTTCAGTACAAGGTCTTCCAATATGTTGCAGAAAAACAAGAATTCCTTGTTATTAATTATAATGAACAAGGAGTTCAATTTATTTACACTGCACATCAATACAGTGGGATTTTTACAGATTTCAGAGTGGGGTCTCAATTTACATCATGCAATGGTACGTATTTACTAAAGCACTGAATTTATTTGCAATTATACAAAATTCCATATTCTAATTTTATGATGGTCTTAGACGTAAAGCATAGGTTAAGTGTTGCTCTGCATGACTCATACCTCCTATTTTTCAAGACATTTGAAAGAAGTGATAAATAAAATGGCAAGAATGACAAACACTCTAACTACACTGCCATTAAAATGCTGTGCTGCAATACAAGTTTAACAACCTATGCTCTAGAAAGAAATTGACAACAGGGGATTTTGCCAATGCATATTGGATGTAACTGGACCTTAACAGAGCTCTGAACAACGTGGTTTGGTGGAAAGTGTCCCTGCCCATAGAAGGGCACTTAGAACTAGATGATCTTTAAGGTTCCTGCCAATCCAAACAGTTCTACAATTCTATGATTCCAATACATTCTAATGAAACATCTGATAATGTATAATTTTTAATATTGTTAATGTTTTCCTCTATTTTATGGAAACATGCAACATAAAAATAATTTTTATATATGTAGACATACTTCACACACAGACACACTGATGTTTCAAGACTGCTTTTACACTTTCTATTAATGATTATTTATCTTCTAAAAAGAAACATAACTTTTTGCAATGTCAACTAATAAGAAGGAAATTATTTTTGTAGTATTTCAATCAGGAAAGCTGGACTCTATTTTCATTTTTCTGGAAATACAGCTTTTATTTTATTTTGTGAGAAGGAGTTATACCTCTGTATATTTAGAAAAAAAATAGATGAATACGATGTTTTCCCTGTGCAGTACTAGCATTTGCAACAGAATTACACAAGCCAATATTTTTCTTGATTTTTGCATCTTCTTACAGTCTGGCAGAGATTATCTGAAAGCTTACAAGTAAAATAACTTCCTCAAAAACATATAGGAATGTTAATGGAAGGCTAGGGGGTATATAAAAGCAGTTTATTCAAAGCTGGATTAACACCAAGATTAATATTTAGATCTAGTATATAGTAATAATCCAGTTTACTAAAAAAAACCCAAGGTTTTTGCACCCCAAGGTTTTTGCTAGAGAAAGAGGAAATAAAACCTTTTGAAATCATATGGGAAATGGACAATGTTCTGTCTGTTTGGGAGCCTTTGGGCCCATATGAACAGCGGTGGGAAAAACAGCCAAAAGAGAACTGCAGAGTGAACAGCTCCAGTCACACAGTTGCGTCCTCAACTGTCTCCATTAGCTGTGTTACTGACAATGCATCTCTGAGGCCAGCTACCATGGAGCCAACCAGCCTCTCTCTTGCCCACTACCCTGCAGCCCTAATGGAGACCAGTGCCTTTGTGCAACAGTGTCGTGACTGCCCTCTCTTCCTCTCCACAGTTGGACACCCCGGTTGGATAGACTGGAGAGACCACAGTAACCACCAGGGAACATCATCATCATCATCATGGCTAGGCTTCGCGAACGAAGATTTGGGAAGGCTCTATCCACATTTGTTGCAGGCACGCTGGTGGCTTATGAGGCCAATAGGTGCCAGACATATCCAATTGCAAAAGGCACAGCAGAAAGACTCCTTAGATGGTGTATTCTGCAATACACGGTTCTTTCTGCGTTGCCTTTTCTCCTCAAGGGTGATCCTGCGTGTGTTCTCAAAGGAAACAGCAGCGTTATAGATGGTGTGTCTCCAGACCTCCCGACTGGAGGCCAGAGTAGACCAGTGATGTTGATCAATATGGCCAAGGCTGAGATGTTGTTTCAGGGAGTCCTTGTATCTTTTCTTCGGGGCTCCTCTCATGCGGCAGCCGGTGGTAAGTTTACCATAAAGCAGGATCTTAGGGAGGTGGTGGTCCTTCATCCTGGAGAAGTGCCCTGCCCAGCGCAGCTGTGTTCTCATCAACATGGCCTCAATACTTGTGACTGCTGCTTGCTCTAGAACAGATGTATTGGTCACATAATCTGACCAGTGGATGTTTAGGATTGTACGGAGGCAGCGTTGATGGAAGCGTTCTAGGAGACGCAGGTGGTGGTGGTAGATGACCCATGAATCGGAACCATACAAGAGAGTAGACAACACTATGGCTTTGTAAACACTGATCTTGGTGCTTTTCTTCAAGTGTTTATTACGCCATACTCTTTTATGGAGTTTTCCAAAAGCACTATATGCCTTTGCTAATCTGTTGTCTATCTTGCCATCTGAGGAGATGAGGCTGCCTAGGTAATTAAACTGCTGGACTGATTTGAGCTGTGATTGGCCAATGGTGATGTGGGGATGATGGGGGACTTCCTGAGGTGCAGGTTGATGGAGGACCTCTGTCTTCTTTAAGCTGACTTCCAGCCCAAAGAGCTCTGCGACGTCTGCAAAGCAGGATGTTAAACGCTGCAGAGCTTCTTCTGTGTGGGCCACAAGGGCGGCATCATCAGCATAAAGCAGCTCCCGGACAAGATGGTTTAAGGTCTTGGTGTGGGCCTTCAGTCGCCTTAGGTTGAAAAGGCTTCCATCAGTACGGTATTGAATGTAGATACCGTCCTGATCCTCGAGGTCTGCTGTGACCCTTTGGAGCATCCTGCTAAAGAAGACTGTGAGTAGGGTAGGAGCAAGAACGCAGCCTTGTTTCACACCATTCTTAATTAAAAAGGGCTCAGAAAGTGTGTTGCCATATCTGACTTGGCCGCGCTGATCCTCATGGAGTGAGATGATCATTTTAAGGAACTTGGGGGACAACCTAAACATTCCAAAATCTGCCACAGACCTTTTCTTCTCATGGTATCAAAAGCCTTGGTGAGGTCGACAAAGGTTACATAAAGACCTTTGTTCTGTTCCCTGCACTTCTCTTGCAGTTGTCTGAGAACAAATACCATGTCTTTGGTACTCCTGTGGGCTCTGAAACCACATTGGCTTTCAGGTAGAATTTCTTCTGCTATAGTGGGTATTAGTCTGTTCAAGAGTATTCTTGCCAGGATTTTGCCAGCAATGGAGAGCAGAGTAATACCACGGTAGTTTGAGCAATCTGATTTAATACCTTTCTTCTTATACAAAGTGATGATGACTGCATCACGAAGGTCTGATGGTAGTTCACCGAACTCCCAACAGCGCACCACAAACTCGTGAAATTTGGTATGGAGTGCAAGGCCCCCATATTTCCAGACTTCAGGTGGAATTCCATCAACCCCAGCTGCCTTGCCAATTTTCACCTGCTGTATGGCCTTGAGGGTTTCTCCTAAAGTGGGGGCAGTATCCAATTCATATTTTACTGGTTGTTGCGTGATGGACTGAATTGCTGAGTCTTGAACTACACGGTTGGTACTGAAAAGAGTCTGAAAGTGTTCAGACCATCAATTCAGAATGGAGGATTTATCTATTAGAAGCGTTTGACCATCAGCGCTGAGTAGAGGGCTTTGTACCTGGTAGGTAGGGCCGTATGTTGTTTTCAAGGCCTCATAGAAACCTTTGTGATCACCTGTATCTGCGCATAATTGACTTTGAGTTGAGTTTGAGTCTAGCTGAAAAAACTCAAAACCAGGGAACATACGCCTCATTCTATTTACAGTCATATACTGCAAGTCTGTCCTGAATCTACAACCCATATAGCAGTGGTGCCCCCACCTTCACCACTTACCCTCCCTCAGTGCAAAAGACTAGAAAGGGCACTTGGGTCATATAACCCCATGAAGTCTGTTGACCACCACTTTGAGGACAGCTCTAAGGATTTGACTGTAATGAGAATTTCTGTGCAGATAGTATCATATTAATGAAATACATATTCCCATGGCTGATAGAGTGTTGATAGCCTAATATAAAAGGGTATACACAGGTGTAATTTATTCCTGTTTAAAATTAGGATTTTTTTTTATGAAACAAATTACTCTTTGCAGCAGTTTACCTGCTGTGTACAAAGTAGTACAAACAGTTATGATGTTTATAATTACGATTTATCTTTTGTTTCAGGATCATCTTTACTCTATACTTTATATTTATCCATAAAGCCAGGTTTTACTGGATATAAGTTAAAATGATAAGATTAAAAATGTGGCAGCTAACATGGCAAATTCTCAAAAAATCTGCTGAGACAGAAAACTTTTTTGCAATTGAAAAGTCACGCTATGGGAAAAGGCTCCGACCTTCCTGAAACAGAGTACTTGGGGAAAGGACAAATGTTTAATGGACAGAACCAAAATTAAGGATGTTTAGTGAGCTACAGAAATGGAAAGCATGCATTAAAAAAGATTATTCGTTAAATAAACATACTCATGGGTGTGTATGATGAACTAAATTCAATAAACACTAAGGTACATGTTTAAATTTAAGTACTGACTGGAAAATGTTTTAGGTGGATGCTTAGTGTATGCTGAACAGAGATTTTTTACAAGTGAAGTTATGTTTGTCTGCTTCACTGACACACAATCTGCTATATTTTCTTCAAGAACAAGAATATCTTACTAGTGTTTTACATTGAGATACTTTTCTCATTGCAGTCATTCCTTTTTAACAGTGGAAATGAA